ATTGTAGCCCTGACACTCCTGCATCCCCACATTACCTCACCATTGTAGGCCTGACACCCCTGTACCCCAACATAACTTCACCATTGCAGCCCTGACATCCCTGTACCTCACCATTGTAGTCCTGACACCCCTGTACCCTGACATGAACTCACCATTGTAGTCCTGGCACCCCTGTACCCTGACATGACCTCACCATTGTAGCCCTGACACCCCTGTACCCTGACATGACCTCACCATTGTAGTCCTGACACCACTGTACCCTGACATGACCTCACCATTGTAGCCCTGACACCCCTGTACCCTGACATCTCACCCCCTCTACCCCAACATAACCTCACCATTGCAGCCCTGACACCCCTGTACCTTACCATTGTAGTCCTGACACCCCTGTACCCTGACATGACCTCACCATTGTAGTCCTGACACCCCTGTACCCTGACATCTCACCCCTGTACCCCTACATAACCTCACTATTGCAGGTGAGGTCCTGCCACTCCTGCACCCCAACATTAACTCACCATTGTAGGACTGACACCCCTCTACCCCTACATAACCTCACCATTGCAGCCATGACACTCCTGCACCCCAATATTACCTCACCATTGTAGCCCTGACACCCCTGTATCCTGATATTACCTCACCATTGTAGTCCTGACACCCCTGTGCCCTGACATTACCTCACCATTGTAGCCCTGACACTCCTGTACCCCCACATTACCTCATCATTGTAGCCCTGACTCCCCTGTACCCCAATATTACCTCACCATTGTAGTCCTGACACCCCTTTACCTCACCATTACCTCACCATTGTAGCCCTGACAACCCTGTACCCTGACATTACCTCACCATTGTAGTCCTGACACCCCCTGTACCCCTATATTACCTCACCATTGTAGTCCTGGCACCCCTGTACCTCACCATTGTAGTCCTGACACCCCTGTACCCCCATATTACCTCACCATTGTAGTCCTGGCACCCCTGTACCTCACCATTGTAGCCCTGACACCCCTGTACCCTGACATTTCCTCACCATTGTAGTCCAGACACCCCTGTAAACCACCATTGTAGTCCTGTACCCCCATATTACCTCACCATTGTAGCCCAGCAAAGTGACTGTCACAGGAAGCCCCGGTCTCAGCTGCTAAGTGGTCAGAGCAGCTGTCAATCAACCAGCAAGGGGAATTGGCTGCAACCGATTGGATGAAAGCACAGCTGACCGTAGGATGGTGACCACCATTCTGCAGCATTGGGAGTTGGTGGTCACCATATTATGATGCATGTAAACTATTTGCCTACTTTTGGCCTGTTAAAGCTGAGCTTAGGGCAAATATAAAGGACCGCACCTGGCAGGGGAAATATGTCGGAATTTACACTGTACGATAGGCTTTTTAGAGAATAGCCCGAATTGAAACCTACAAATGTAGACCCCTTTGGCTCACATCACAGAGCTAATACACCGGGACAAGGATCAGTATGTTCTAATATAATGGTCACATGACTGAAAACAAAGATTCTTATCCTGCCCAGCAGTGTTTAGCCTCTTCCAGGAAATCCAAACTGTCCTTTGCTGCTCACTTTGACCTCTGTTCTTTACAAGGGAGAAGGAGGCTTACTGTGCCTCATACCTTTCCTGGGGGGATTATAACTGCACCGTAGGGCAGCCAGGAGGAGGATAACTGTGCCTAAAACCTAATTCAAGGAATTATCGCTGTACCTCGTACCTCAGCTGGGGGTGTTATTACACTAACGTACAGCAGTTAGGAGGAGAGGGTAACCGTGCTTCATGCCACACTTAGGGGGATTTTAACTGTATTATAGGGCAGCCAGAAGGAGGAGGAGGGGTGCAACTGTGCCTCATACCTCACCTTGAGGGGATGAGAACTGTACTATGGTACCACCAGGTCATACCCCTGTATGTAATAATATAGCATTATGTCATCATTATTCCTTTGTAACTTCAACACCCCTGTTCTCTGATATAACCTCACTGGGGTCCCCTGACACCCCTGTACTTCTAGATTGTCTCACAAACCTCAACTGACTCCTCTGTACCCCAATATTACCTCACTGGGGTCACCTGTCATCCGTGTACTTCTAGATTGCCTCACTAAGCTCACCTCACCTGACTCCTCTGTACCTTAATATTACCTCACTTGGGTCACCTGACACCCCTGTACTTCTAGATTGCTTCACAAAGCTCACCTGACTCCTCTGTACCTTATTGGGGTTACCTGATATCTCTGTATCCTAATATTACCTCACTGGGGTCACCTGACTCCTCCGTACACCTATATAAATTCACTGGGGTCACCTGACTCCTCTGTATTTTAATACTACCCTAACCAGGGTCGCCTGCATCATATGTACCCCAATATTACCTCTTTGGGGTCACCTGACTCTTCTGAATCCTGATATTACCTCACTAGTGTCACCTGACTCTCCTGTACTCCTTTATTACCTCACTGGGGTCACCTGACTTCTCTGTATCCCGATATTGTATCGCTGGGGTCACCTGACCCTTCTGTACCCTGATATTACCTCCCTTGGTTCACCTGACTCCCTTGTACCCTGCTATTTCCTCACTGGACTTACCTGACTTCTCTGTACCCCAATTTTATCTCTTTGGAGTCACCTTACGCTTCTGTACCTGATATTACCTCCCTAGGTTCACTGACTCCCACTGTACCCCGATATAACCTCTCTGGGGTCACCTGAGTCCTTTGTACCCCAATATTACCTCACTGGGGACACCTGACTCCCCTGTACCTCGATATAACCTCTCTGGTTGACCTAATTACTCTGTACCTCAATATTGCCTAACTGAGATTACACAAACACCCTCGTATACTGATATGTGCTCCACGTGTCTTTCTCTCAATGTTGGGGGTATCAGGGGGTACCCCAAATTCTGCTAACAGCATGTTCTGTCTCCTTATGACTGAAGGTTGTTGTGTCTTTCAGACCTCCCTCCCAGATGTGCAGTCATGTGACCACTTGATGGCACTCCAGCGTAAGATGCTGCCGGTCCAGCTCAGGGATGTACCTCAGCACACTTGCCAGCACAGAGCCAGCGGGGTCCATCTGCTTGGACTGGGTGCTGTCAGTAACATTTTGTCTCCATGTTGTCCCTCTTGTCTTGTTTTAAGAGCGTGTCCTGTCATAAGGCACATGTTTAATCTTGTGTTCTCCTGTTCTACCCTTTACATGTCACTCTGACCCTGCTCCTTCAACCATCCCTGCCGTCAATTATCTTGCTCTCCTTCCCCCCCACCCGTCTCCCCCCGCCGTCTTTCCTATCCATTATCCTGCTCTTCCCTTGTCCTTAGGCTTTGTCATTGCCCCATCCTCCCAGCTGCAGCATCCTCCTGTGAGTGTGTGTGTCTCGTAGCATCTCTACCTCCGTTATCCTTTTCTCCTTCCTCTCTCCTCCCTCCCTGTCATAATTCGCCTCTCTGCACCCTCCCTCCTTCCTTCCACGAGACCTCTCTCTGTTGCTTACCTAGCATCAGTCTCCGACTCTCCTCCCTCCAGTCACCTCACCTGGGTGTGTGCTCAGGCTCACTCAGCTCTCCCGGTACAGGATGTCATGGAAATAATGAGCTTATTTGGTGCTCTTCAGAATGGAGGGCAGAGCCAGGCTGTGCAGGGAGGCAGGCCGGAGCCCTCGCACTGATCGGAATATGGGGACCCCAAGGAGGACTTCCGACTGAACATCATGGAACCTAGGAATGGGCAGCACTCCCAGGCCAGCCATATGATGGTGGATGGAGAGGCTAGCATGGCCAGAGAAGAGGTGACAGCAGTGTCCAGCATCCAGAGCCCAGGACCAGGTCAGCATCCTCCTTCCTCTGGACTTGTACAGAAAATCCCCACTCCGGGAGTCAGTCAGTACACTCCGACTTTCAGTCAGGGTCCTTTCGCCGCCGGACTTATCCATAAAACACCTGTCACAGGATCTCCACTCGCAGAACCTAATGCCCCCTCTCCTACAGGGCAACAGCACTTTCCAGTTTCAGGACAGGCTACGACTGCTCCCGCACTTGGTGTAAAGCCCTCAGATGGCTATGCATCTCCCAGAACAAACCAAACTTCTGCCCCAGGAACAAGCCAGACTCCTTTTCCTGAAACGAATCAGCAGGCTGGTGCCCTGTTTTATAGTAAGACTTCATCTGTTGCACCTAATGTGTCTCCTATCTCTACAGCCACCCCGCTTACTCCCACTGGACCTGTGCAGCCTCGTCCCCCAGCGACAATTCAATCATCCGTCAGACCGCTTTTACAGCCTTCTGTCCAGGGATGTGTCCATGCACCTAATTCAAGACCCACCCAGCCTCCAACCTTGGAACCAGTGCCATCCTTTAGCCCAGGACCCTTACAGCCAAATTCCCCAAGACCCATACAGCCTTTGGTCACTGGACCTGTGCAACCGGCGGGGTCTACGCAGAATGCTTCTCTGGGACACACACCTTCGCTAGCTTCAGGGTCCACTCTTCAGCCTTCAGCCTTTGGACCCACACAGTCTCCTGCACAATGTACCTTTCAGCCTTTGTCCGCTAATCCCGTTCAGCCTCCAAATTGTGCCACTGAGCAGTCACAAATTTCTGCTGGAGCAACGATGCCTATACCTAGACAGACTGCAATTCCCAGACCGAACCATACATCAGCCTTTAACAAGCCTGTTTTAGGACTACAGCAACAGCCTCCATTAAGACCCAGTCAGCCTCTTGTCCCAGAAGCAGTTCAGCTTCCTAGCTTTGGACCTGCTCAGCCTCCTGTACCAACAACAATGGCTCTCACAGCAGGTCCTAATCAGGCTTTAAGTACAGGTCCTTGCCAGTCTCCTACACCAACTCCTGCTTCTAATCAGCCTCCTATACCTGCACAAAGCCAACTTCCTCCTGCAGGCATCAACCAGACTTTTGTTCTGGCATCCAACCAACTACCTTTTACAGGACCCAACCATACTTCTGGCCATTCTCCCATCCCATCTCCTGCTCCAGGAGGTTCTACAGGACCCAACCAAACCTCTGCTTATGGATCCTGCCAAACTTTTGTTAAAGGATCCAGCCAAACTGCTTATTCTTCCCCCAACCAAGCCTCTGCCCCCTCACCAAACCAATCTTCTGCTTCTGGATCCAATCAGTCCGCTTCCCCTTCTCCCAGTCAAACTGCTGCCGTCTCACCCAACCAAGCTCCAGTTACAGGGCCTAACCAAACTCAGACCTCAGGAAATGGTCACCAAACAGGCACCTGTCAGCCCAATGTTCCTGGGTCCAGCCAAATTCCAGCTTCTGAGCCTAGCCAACCCTCAGTCACAGGCCTCAGTCAGACATCTTCAGGACTCAACCAAACACCAGGCCTTGTGGAAAGCCAGTCTCCGGGTTCAGGCCTAAGCCAGTCATCAGCACTTGGAGTAAGCAACCTACTTCCCAAGTCTGAGGGCCCGGAGCAGATTGAGTCGGAAGAAGCAGGCAACTTCATGCAGCGCCAGTTTGGGGCCCTCCTGCAGCCGGCCGTCAACAAGTTTTCCCTGCGGATGTTTGGGAGTCACAAGGCGGTAGAGATTGAACAGCAAAGGGTTAAATCTGCTGGCTCCTGGATCATCCACCCCTACAGTGACTTCAGGTGAGTGTTCACAGGTTATGGCCCTTCCTGGCTTACATCGTGAGGGTAAAGAAAAGAGTGGGAGCTCTACCTGTCCCATCCAGTCTCAAAATCCTGGGAGTCCGGTGCACAACTTCGGCACATCAGCCTCCCAAAGTACATGTATGGCAAGTAGCCGGCACACGGTAGGTTGCACCTTGAGTGTCCCGAGATTTTGAAGGTCTTCACTGGCAAATGTCACCTTCTCAGCATTGATATTCACCCAGGACCCCAGCTCAGATACTTATATGTCTTCCCTGTACCATGACTCCGGCTCAAATATGTCATCACCATGTGTTATAGGATGCCCCTGGGTCCAGGAATCCATCTCATATATGTCATTGCCGTGTGTTATATGATGCCCTGGTTCCAGGACCCCAGCTCATATATGTCATTGCCCTGTGTTATATGATGCCCCGGTTCCAGGACCCCAGCCCATATATGTTATTGCCGTGTGTTATATGGTGCCCTGGTTCCAGGATCCTAGCTCATATATGTCATTTCCCTGTGTTATATGATTCCCCTTGTTCAGGACCCTAGCTCATATATGTGATTTCCCTGTGTTATATGATACCCTTTGTTTAGGACCCTAGCTCATATATGTAATTGCCCTGTGTTATATGATGCCCTGGTTCCAGGACCCTAGCTCATATATGTAATTTCCCTGTGTTATATGATGCCCTGGTTCCAGGTACCCCAGCTCATATATGTAATTGCCGTGTGTTATATGATGCCCTGGTTCAAGGACCCCAGCTCATATGTCATTGCCGTGTCTTATATGACGCCACAGGTTCCAGGACCCCAACTCAAATATATGATTGCTGTGTGTTATATGACGCCACAGGTTCCACGACCCCAACTCATATATGTAATCACTGTATGTTATATGACGCCACAGGTTCCAGGACCTCAACTCATATGTGATTGCTCCATATTATATGACTCCCCTGGTTCCAAGACCCCAACTCATATGTCATTGCCGTGTCTTATATGATGCCACAGGTTTTCGGGACCCCAACCCATATATGTGATTTCCATGTATTATATGAGACTCCTCTTCTAGGACCCCGGCTCAAGCCTATGTGTCATTACGATGCGGAGCTTTAATGACCAGATGGAATCAACCTACACCATTGTGCAATCCTGAAATGTCATTGATGGAAACTATACATACATATAACACCCTACACATGTATGTAGAGACTACATGTGATATACATGCTTATTGCCCGCATTGTGCCCATGCCGACCATGTGACAGTCTCTTCTTCACAGGCTGTGGGTGCAGATGGCACTCACATGTTTCACACACAGTGTAGGCAGTGATTATGATCTGATTGCGTTTTATATGATATATATTGATAGACACATGTGTGCTAAATACAAAAATTACTCATATAAAAGCACTTATTACACGTGACATAGGTACATACATGAAGTGTATATAAAAAAAAACCACAGGCATGATATATATTATACAGATAGGTGTAGGTGATGTATACACATGACACATCTCATACAGCTGGCATAACATACAGCGGGTCCTTGTGTGATATAGACAAATATACATTGATGTCACGTGTTACACATACTTCATACAAGGCATGTCAAATCCTGTGCTACCCTCATGTACAGCTATAGGAGGAGCCATTATAATGGGAATATTATATGGGGAAGCTGGTAGAATGGTTACAGGAATCATTGTCAGGTGATGTCCTTCTACGCCGATAGACAACGTCATTGTCCCTACACACCGTCCAATCTACGTCACAGGGGGGGTCCGCCATCTGCTCTGTGCTCACCGGTGTGCACACCACATCCTCAGGCTTGTCAATGTCATTGATTGCAATATGGACTCCTGAGCGGTGATGTCACTTCTATAAGATATAGCTTATATCCAGAGAGCGGTGATGTCACTACTTTATAATATATCTTATATCGGCAGAGCGGTGATGTCACTGGCGTCACAAGGGGGGTGCGGCCCGCACCCGGGTGACACCATTGGAGGGGTGACACTAAAAAGGACTGACAGTCATTTTGGTGTCACCCCCTCTGAAATGTCGGGCACTCGGTCATTCACTGAGAGCCCAACAGTTTCAGGAGAGAGGAGGAGACCCGGTGGCATACCTTATCCCACCGGGTGAACGTCCCCTCCTCTCTCTGCCAGCGTTCATCACCAAGATGGCCGCCAGCAGGTATCAATAAGATGGCTGCGCATGCACGACGTCATCACGCCCGCACGTGGTGACGTCATGGTGGGGTGTCACCCGGTATCCGTTCCGGGTGACACCCGACCTCGGGACACGCCTGGGTGATGTCACTCCTGTATAATATAACTCAGGGGTAGGCAACCTCGGCACTCCCAGCTGGGGTGAAACTACATAAACCCATCATGCCTCTGCCTCTGGGAGTCATTCGTGTGGCTGTCGGAGCATTGCCTCACGGGACTTGTAGTTCCACAACACTTGGAGTGCCGGAGTTGCCCACCCGTGATGATATAACTTATATCTGGAGCGTGGTGATGTTCACAAAGATATGTCTCATATTTGGACACTAGTGACATGATGTCACAGCTTGCGGAAAGGAAGTGTGTTGTCATAGAAACCAATGTAATCTGAGATTTCATTTTTACCTGCTGTGAGATAGGACGGGATTGGCGGTGCCGGCAGAGAACGTAGTGTAGGGGCGTCATATATATTTTATACTTGGCGTATCCAACGTCTACGTACATCATATTACTATTTCAGTCATCAGATCCCCTCTCCTCCTCCCGTAGGGCAAAATGATTTCCTTTTAGTACCTTGTAGTTATGGCCTATCTGTGGAAATGTGCATTAAATCTATATGTCATCAAGTCCAGGATGTGCGTGTGTGTGATAGGGGGTAGCGGGGGTCACAAATAGGGGGAATGCAGCTTTGTGGTCTTCAATGGTCTATCTAGGTGGTAAGTGCTGGACACCCAGCAGTGTCCAGCATTGATCTCTCCTTTGGCATGAGCTCCGAGAGTCTCATCATTACCACCTACGGTATCACCACCAGGGGCAGCACAGAACCTGTACCCAACGCTCTACCTATACTGGAGGGAAAGTATGCCAGATGTCACCACCGCTGGGCCCATTAACAGAATGTTACTTACCTGGCTAATCTACTGGATTCAATACGTTTTGTGTCACTGGCCCAGAACAAGAATGCAGCCCCTGATTTCCCCCTGGGGTGGAGGGAAGTTGGGAACTTCTCATAATGGGCACAACAGGTGTACAGACCCAGAAATTAAGCAGAGGAATGGTGGGAACTCCTCATAATGGACAAAGGACATGTGGAGAACTGGGAATTCAGCCCAGAAATGGTTGAAGGCCCTCAAAATGTGCACAATGGGTGTGCAGACCCAGGAACTCAGTACAGAAATGGTGGGAACTCCTTATAATGGGCATAGCAGGTGTACAGACCCAGAAACTCAGTGCAGGATTGGTGGGAACCCCTCAAAATGGCCACAGCAGGTATACAGACCCAGGAACTCACTGCAGGGTTGGAGGGAACCCCTGAAAATGGTCACAGCAGGTGTACACACCCAGGAACTAAGCACAGGAATGGTGGGAACTCCTCATAATGGACAAAGGACGTGTGGAGACCTGAGAACTCAGCCCAGGAATGGTTGAAGCCCCTCATAATGTGCACAATGGTGACCTTGGAACTCAGTGCAGAGATGGCGGGAACCCTCATAATGGGCACAGCAGGTGTATAGACCCAGGAAATTCGTGCAGGGTTGGTGGGAGCTCCTCATAATGGGCACAGCAGGTGTACAGACCCAGGAATTCACAGGGATGGTGGGAACTCCTCATAATGGACACAGCAGGTCTACAGACCCAGGAACTTAGCACAGGGATGGATGAAGCCCCTCATAATGTGCACAATAGCTGTGCAGACCCGGGAACTCAGTCCAGAGATGGTGGGAACTCCCTATAATGGGCACAGCAGATGTACAGACCCGGGACCTTAGCACAGGGATGGTGGGAGCCCCACATAATGGGCAAAGAAGCTGTTCAGAAACTTAGCACAGAGATATTACCAATACATTTCTTCCAACTTTTTGAGATGGAAAATAGGGATGTCCTTTAACACAAAGTGTGTAGGCAAGGGGCACACTTCCTGCCACTCCCCATTTACTTGGACCATAAAGAATTGATAAGTTAAAATGGATTGGCTAAACCCACAACTGTTCATCTCTGCCTTTCCTTTATACCGGCATTTTATAATAATAATAATGTGATAATAGAAAGGTTTGGTGTAGGGTAACACTTTTGGTAGTAAGGTACTGCATATATAATGGAGGTCTACTCATCTATCAAAAAAGAGCGTCAACTGAGGAGTAAAGAGCACCAGAGGGATTTGTTTGGAGGTATGCCAACAGGGAGATAGAAGAGATCGGTGGTTTAACTCTCCACCATTCACAGCACTGAAATATATGTTCTGGGGAAGTGGGGGGTGAACCTTTAAAGAGGTTAGTCAGACAAGCCTATCTCTTATAAAAGGTTTAGGAAACATTTGGCCCCAGCAGACCTAGCTGTGGGAATTGAAGCACAAGATGGGGTTTGGATTCTGACTGATGAGACACGATCTGTTGCTTTGTTTTCTGCTGACTAATAAGTACCGTCTGTTTCCTGCTCCTCTCTGGGTGTCTCACTGATTCTGCTGCAGTCTCCCCACTCTTCCTTCTGTCCCTCTCTTCGCTAGTCTGGCCTTTTCTCCTGCCGTCCATGGCTGCCTTCATACCGACCCGTAGGTTATCACATGAGGCCATCAGTATGAATGGCAACATCTCGTGATTTCCATCCACTGGGCCTAGCGGGAGTTGGGAGGCAAGTTGGCCTGGTGGAGCAGACTAGGTTTACCTTTCCCGGGCCACACACTTGCTCTTTTCCTCAGAGGTCAAGAGGTGTTCCCAGGCCATCTGGGAGATCGATTCCCTCCACTATGATCTAGACCTGCCCTGGATGTGGTTGGAGAAGCAACAGCCACATTTGCAGAGGAGATTTCCATATTAGATGCATGAACATCAGTTGCCTTCATCACACTTTCCTAATGTAGTAGGCAGAGACAGGTAAAACGTGGCCAGATAGGGCAGATCTAAGTAGCTCAGAGTCACATCAAAGGTGGCTTAGGAAGCTGCTGCAGGTATGACTCTTACTAGTCAAAGTGTTGTTAGACACATGGCTGAGCCCTTCTTGTTTTATGGGAAACCACCAGGAACACATCAGAAAATTATATCCAAACATTACATTATACAAGTATTAAACTGAACACTAGGGATGCACCGAATATCGATACCGGTTTCTCGGTATCGACATTATTTTTTCAGTACTTTCCGATAACAAATACCGATACCAGAAGTCCCATTAGGGAAGCCGGGCAGTGTGTAATGACTCGCCATCCGGCTTCCCGATTAACAGGAAAGCCGCCTCCATGCCCCGACGTCACCAAGTGACAAGGAAGCATGAAGCCGGCTTTTTGGCTAATCAGGAAGCCGGGGCACTGTGTAATGACTCGGGTTCCTGATTGGTCGAGAAGCTGGACAATTAAGTAGCCGGGCAACAAGTCATTACACATCGCCCGGATTCCTGATTGGCCTGGGAAGGTGGCTTGATGCTCCCTCGTCATCAGGTGATAAGGGAGCACGAAGCTGGCTTTCTGATCAATCAGAAAGCCAGGGGGCGGGTAATGACTCGCAGTCCGGCTTCCTGATTGGCCAGGTTCCCTACCAATCAGGAAGCTAGGCGGCCTAGGCACCCTCTAATCAGCTCCATCATTGAGCGGTTATAATCTGTGTGTGTGGAGATTAAAATTAATTTTGTCACTGCAAGAGGCTGTCAGCTAATCTTCCAACCACTTCTTCATTAAGACTGGAGGGTTTAACTAAAGCCAGAATTTGCTACCATTCATCCCAGCTGACCTAAAGATACCCAAGGGCAAGGGTGGGAGCTGATATAAGATAAGGGTGACATTTGCAGTCATGCATCTGTTATACAAGACTTCACGGCATACAGGCCTGATCCCGGCGACTGATTGTTAAGTCCTTACAAACGTGTAGCATGCGCTGGAAAATTTGTTAATTTACAAAAGTAATTAATGGGGTTTATTGTTCAGATTTTAAGTGTGAGATTATTATCTTAACCTCCAGGATAGTCATATATAGTCGTAAATACATATAATACTAAAGCTGAGGCTCCTAGAACCGAATGGCATTAGTGATACGAATTTCTGAATTGCATTGGGGAGCTCTGGAATGCCATTCTGGTCTGGGAGCCCCAGCTTTAGTAATATATGTATATGGCTCCCAGACCTGAATGGCATTCGGGATCCAAATTTCCAATTTGCATTGGGGAGCTCCCAGACCCAAATGGCATTCAGATCTGAATTCCTGAATTCCATTGGAGAGCTCCTGAATGCCAATCGGGTCTGGGAGCCTCAGCTTTAGTAATATATGTATATGGCTCCCAGACCAGAATGGCATTCAGAATCCGTATTCCCGAATTGCATTGGGGAGCTCCTGAATGCCATTCGGTTCTGGGAGCCTCAGCTTTAGTTATATATGTATATGGCTGGCTCCCAGACCCGAATAGCATTCTGGAGCTCCCCAATGCAATTCGGAAATTCGGATCCCAAATGCCATTCGGGTCTGGGAGATTCAGCTTTAGTATTAATATCTATATATGGTTTTCTGAGGTATTCGCAACGAATATTCGTAAACTCATCTGAAACTAACGAAAATTCGGATTTCGTCTGAATCCAAAACCCAAACCAAATTTAATTTTGGATCTGAATCCCGAAATAACATAATATCCGAATTGAAACAAATTTTTACGCAGCTTACATCTCTAATACGCACACTCTGAATTAAGTATAATTTTGTAGAGCTAGATGTGCACCTTTCACATTGTGAATGATACATTTCAAATACCAAAATACATTATATGGCCCAAAGATAGTGTACACCTGACCATCACACCTATATAACCTTTGTTGGATCTTCCATTTCATAACCACGGCCATTAATATGGACTTGGCCCCCTTTGTGGCTACAACAGCTTCCACCCTTCTTAGAAAGCTTTCCACAAGATTCTGGAGTATATCTGAGAGAATTTGTGCCCATTTGTGATGTCAGGTATGTATATGATAAAGACCTGGCTCACAATCGATATTCCATCCCAAAATTGTCAGTAGGGTTGAGGTCAGGGCTTTGTACAGGCTTACCAAGTTCTTCCTAACCAAACTGGTCAAACCATGTCTTTATGGCGCTGGCTTTATGCACAGAGGTACAGTCATGCTGGATGTAAAAAGGGCTTTCCCCAAACTGTTACTACAAGGTTGGGGGCGCACAATTGTCTAAAATGTCTTTGTATGCTGTAGTATTAACAGTACCCTTCATTGAAAATACCTGAACTCAATCATTTGGGTGGGGGTTCCAAATAATTTGGGCTTTATGGTGTATATTGGTAGGAAAGATGTCGGCCTTTAGCTACTTTAACCATGTTGAATTGAATAGATTTATATGTCATCTTTATATAATTAAGGTGTCTTTTGTTTTTTTCTTCTTACTGTCCCTCATGTCCTCCACATTGCCTTCCTTTGTCTGTGCTGTCTGTGACCCCTGTGTATATATTGTTTCTGGTCTAATCTGTGCATCTCTACAATGGTTGATCTCCCAATCCCCTGTGTTCCTCTTGGTTCTGTCCATATCTTCTCATCTTCACTAAATATCCTTTTTATTTTTTGTCCATATCACTCCCCCATCAACCACCCTGCGATTGTCGATGTTTGTTCCGTTTCGCCTTTTCTTTGTCATCTCTGTCCAGGTTTTACTGGGATCTCATCATGCTCCTTCTTATGGTTGGAAATCTGATAGTTCTACCGGTGGGAATCACATTCTTCAAGGATGAGAACACTCCACCTTGGATTGTGTTCAATGTCCTCTCTGACACTTTTTTCTTGGTGGACCTGGTTCTAAATTTCCGGACAGGGATTGTGGTGGAGGACAACACAGAGATTATTCTTGATCCACATACCATCAAGATGAAGTATCTGAAGAGCTGGTTTCTGGTGGACTTTGTCTCTTCCATCCCTGTGGACTACATTTTCCTCATCGTGGACTTGGAGACGCAAGTAGACTCTGAAGTGTACAAGACGGCCAGGGCCTTACGAATCGTCAGGTTTACAAAAATTCTTAGTCTCCTCCGACTACTTCGTCTGTCCCGGCTCATCCGATATATCCACCAGTGGGAAGAGGTGAGATTGCAGGAGATATATGCAGCATGAAATACGTCAACTTTGTGAAAATATGAATAACTTGTCTGTTCTTGGAGGTTTATTCATGTAGGTATAGTAGGGATACACCGAAACCCGTTTTTTTCGGTATTGAGTACGAGAACCAATTTTTTTTCCCGGTACTCGCCGATACCGAATACCAATACCGGATACCAATACCGGAAGTCCAATGACGGAAGCCAGGCGGCGTTCAAAGACTCGCTACCCAGCTTCCCGATTAGCAGAGAAGCCGTCTCCATGCTTCCTCGTCACCAGGTGATAAGGAAGCATGGAGCCGGCTTTCTGGCCGATCAGAAAGCTGGGCAACGAGTCATTACACGGTACCCAGCTTCCTGATTGGCCGGGAAGCCACAAGTGACGAGGGAGCATGGAGCCGGCTTCCCGGCCAATCAGGAAGCCGGGCAGCGTGTAATGACTTGCGTGCCCAGCTTCCTGATACTGGAAGCTCAGGTATCGGGCTAGGCATTGGAGCATTAGGGCAAGTACGAGTACTCACCCAAATACTCAGCACCAATACTGATACTAGTATCTAGTATGCTCAGCTGCAAAATGTTGCCGTTGGTTGTCCTGGGGGAACTGAAGACAAACAGAACATCCTTTCTGTATAAATATTCTGCACAGTGTTTACTCCCCTGTATATGGCCATGCATACAGGCCTCTTTTAAAGATGACCTGTACTGTGAAAGCTGTGCCCGAAAAGGCAGGCAATGAATAAAGCACTAGTATTGCCTTTGATCTCCCCGCAGCTTATCTTTTCCCCATTACTGAGTGACTATGCCTTGTTCTGTACTGTGTCTCTGTATGGAGGCGGCCATCTTTGTAGAGGCACAAGGCTTTGCTTCCTCATGTCAGAGCTGCCGCTCTGATTAATGTTGATCTGATGACTGGTGGCGTAATGATAGAGGAAGAGAACGCACAGATCCACAGAAGGTATGAAGCAGAAGCAGGGAGATCCTTTCACTGCAGATCCCCAAGTACAGATTCCTCTCCAGTGAGGATAACGGTAAGCAGCACAGCAGTAACATAATCAGGTCTCTTTCCAAATCCATAAATGATCTCACGCTGCAAAGGGTCTATTTTCAGGGTACTGCTTAGACAAAATTAACATTTTCAGATGTTCTCCGCCTTTATATACTTCATAGATTTTTACTTATGATAGATGGATCATAGATTATGAGCCTCATTTCTAAAATTACCTGCAGAGGTGTGCTGTATCCCAGAATTGGCACTTCTTCCAGGAATTGAGCAGTAGAAGCCTCTAGCACTGGATGGGGTTGGTGAATGTCTTATGGCATGAGGAAGGGGATTCTGTGGAAGGGGACAATACAGGCAGCAGTGTGAAAAGTTTGGACTAGGGAGAAGTGATTATTTGAACAAATAGAAGGTCCCGGGTGGGGGAATGTCACAATGCCTATCGAAGATGAAGACGCTTTGATAAATACACCCCAATGGTGTACATTGTGTAAAGTAGGTCTATATAGTATTAATATTGGGCAGCATGAGAGTTTCATCTCTGGATAGTCTACTGATCTGTGTTTCTTGTTGGTCAGATCTTCCACATGACCTACGACCTGGCCAGCGCCGTGGTTCGAATCTTTAACCTGATTGGAATGATGTTATTGTTGTGCCACTGGGACGGCTGCCTTCAGTTTTTGGTTCCAATGCTCCAGGACTTTCCAGAGGATTGCTGGGTCTACATTAACAAGATGGTGGTGAGTTATCCATCCTTACCTTCTTTATCTTATGTTGTACGTGCTGCTGTTTCGCACAATTAAGAGTTAATCTCCCCGCGTCCAAAAGAACGAACCATGAAAAACAATGATTTGGCGCACTCCCCGGCTCATAGCTGAGCTCCAACACACTTGTCGATGATTAGATTTGGCCAGATGTCTCCCTCTTGATGTTCCTGGCTCAGCATTCGCACGAGCTGTTTCGACACACAGTGTTCCTGTTGCTCTCTGTCTCTGCCTGGTGACTGTCACCGGAGGACCCCCCAAATACAAACATGAGGGGGACCCTGGATATCAGCCATCTGCAGCTCTTGTGTTTCAGGTTTACAGGTGCTTGGAGTGTCTAAACAACATCATCTTCCTTGGAGAGCTATTCTAACCAGCCAGGTGCCCTCCAGCTACCAGGGAGCTATGGTACCAGATTATATAACCATGCCTTGGTCTACCTTTACTGCTGAGGGTGTAGATCAGCTATTGGGTTCCTTATTGTGCTGCTGGTAACAGGTGTACACAATGTACAAGGAGGCAGCAGCTGTCAGTGCAGGATCATCCCATAACCATCATCTCCAGAGAGGGAACTTGATGTCACCTCGTTATTACATGACAGCTGAGGCTCATTAGTGAATGTCAGTCAGGTAACCAGTCAGTAAGGCCTTTATATATAGAACATGGAAGCTTTCCAGTGATGTGTACACTTCTGTGCCTGAATCTACTTCCTCTTACTGCTAATACAGAACTGTATGATACTTCTTCCATCATCCCCTGTGCAGATACACCTACAATCCCCAACACTGCTCCATCACTCTGTATTAAATGCTGCTTTCACCAGATCACACTAGCAGTGCCTCGGTCACTTGTCCACATCAATGGTGCTGCAGTCACATGACTGCACTGATAGTACTAATGTCATATGACTGCACTGATTGTACTAATGTCACATGCACTAAGTATATTACTGATGTCACATAACCGCACTGATGATACTGATGTCAGCTGACCACACAGACACTGTTGCAGTCCCCTGCTCACACTAATGTCACCAGTGTCACACTGACAGTACTACAATCACGTTTTTATGCCTTACAGTCCTGCTGGTGGAATTCTGTTTCACTTTAAGTCACCTAACGCACTCACACACTCTGTAGAACACACCTTAAACACATGATAAGTGCTTGCACACGTAATGTACATGTACAGACAATTAACGGATGCATTTTACAGCTGTCCAGATGTTTTTCCCATTTCATGTCACTGTAGGTATGGTTGTCTCCTCCCTTTCTGCAACTGTCCCGTGTGCTAGAGCACGCCAGCTGCATGTAGTGTATGCAGGTTTGCGCCTGCAGCATGCAGGGCGATAGCGCCTGCTGCTTGACTGCAACCACTGCATGTAATCTGTTGGGGATGAAAGTGAAAGATGAGGGCTAGCATGTCAAATGAATGTAGCGTGTAACTATGCATGCCAACTGCATGGAATTAGTGCACGCTTACTGCATAATAAGGACTGGTGTAAGTACATCCGGAGGAAGGCTGATAAGTTTATATTACGTTAATGTGAACCTGTCTGAGTAGATATCCATCAGCTGCGACTGCTAGACGGTAGTTCAGGCTTTATGGACTTCACTGGCTGCAAGCTTGCTTCAGGTCAGAAGCAAGTGATGACAACGCCAGTGCCTACAATCATCAATGGCAGTTTCCCTATATCTACCTGGACAGGTGCCCTTTATGCAGGTTGCTGGAGGCCTGGTCTTCCTGGAGTGAGGTCATGCTTAGATGACACCTGTAAGTAGCATGCTTTCTGTGCTACTACACATGTATGTATAGGCACGGACATTCTCAGGCAATTCATGAACAACTTTATTAAAATGCCTGTGATAGTGCAGAGCTGACACTGTGCACCCAGAAAACAATACTAATACTCCGATTCAGCATAGCTGTTCTGTGACTGATGCCATATCTCTCCTTCACCAGAACGAGTCCTGGGGCAAGCAGTACTCTCACGCCATCTTTAAGGCAATGAGCCACATGCTGTGCATAGGCTATGGCCAGCAGGCTCCGGAGGGAATGACGGATGTCTGGCTTACCATGCTTAGTATGATAGTGGGGGCTACCTGTTATGCTATGTTTATTGGCCATGCTACAGCCCTCATCCAGTCCTTGGACTCATCTCGTCGTCAATACCAAGAGAAGGTAGGTAGAAATTCAGGGAAATGGTGAAAGAAGCACAAAGAAAGAAAGAAGCTGCATCCAAGTAACTATCCTCATGTCTATTTTGTGTCCCTTACAGTATAAACAGGTGGAGCAGTACATGTCCTTCCACAAACTGCCCCCGGACACACGGCAGAAAATTCATGAGTATTATGAGCACCGTTACCAGGGCAAGATGTTCGATGAGGAGAACATCCTCGGGGAACTTAGCGAACCTCTTAAAGAGGTAAGATTGTATTTGAAGCGCACATTCCATACTTCACACATCTTCAGGGCATTCTACTTACAAATCTTCATCTTTCTTTGTCATATAGGAGATTGTTAACTTCAACTGCCGCAATCTTGTTGCCAATATGCCTCTTTTCGCCAATGCCGACCCCAACTTTGTAACCGCCATGTTAACCAAGCTCCGCTTTGAAGTGTTCCAGCCAACAGATTATATCATTCGGGAGGGCACAGTAGGAAAGAAGATGTATTTTATCCAGCATGGGGTGGTGAGCATCCTAACCCGGGGGAGCAAGGAGACCAAACTTTCTGATGGTTCATACTTTGGAGGTAAGTCAGTAAGAAGATAGAATGTCTGTTTTGACTGTGCTTGTTCACCTCTTAGGAGGTGTGAGAAAAGGATTATCCAGGGGTCAACATGTTTGAAGACCATAGGAACATAAAACTCTTCATGATGCCCACAGCAACCAATCAGTATTGTGCGCTCATGCTTCCAATGCCAAATAGGTGAATTGATTGGTTGTTGTGACAACAAGAAGAGTTAACGCTCAGTCACAAGACCCATGAGAGACTGAATGGATCTAAACCATAGACACATTGGATTGTTGGTTCAGCCAATCAAAACACTCTGGTTGAAATTGCATTTCTTCTTGTAGAGATCTGCCTGCTGACTCGTGGACGCAGAACGGCGAGTGTGCGCGCTGATACCTACTGCCGCCTCTACTCCCTCTCGGTGGACAACTTTAACGAAGTCCTGGAAGAATACCCAATGATGAGAAGGGCATTTGAGACAGTTGCCATGGACCGACTGGATAGAATTGGTGGGTGCAGGAGTTGGAGAAATGCACTGCATACTGATTGTATAGCCAACGATACATCATAATTAACATGTCACATATAAAGTACAGAGAGACAGTGCAGTTCTCGGATTGTGTCTTCAGGCATACCATCAGCATTTATCCATAGTCCTTCACACTTTTTCTGCAGAATGGGGCCTTTATGAAGGCCTTGAATTGTATCTGGACCTTCAATACATACTCACCTGGGGCTTTCCCAGGTCACTTTAGTGCCCCATTCTGCAGCATTTTACAGCTTCTTCAATTGCCCCTTTATACATCCCATCCAGCTTGCCAACACCTCTTATTATAAATAACTTGCCCCTTTCTGACCCCCGATGCTGTTGTCACCATCTACACGTTTATATGTTTTTCCCACTGTGTACTTTGTATTATTCCCTTCTGTGTCTTCCATCTTATATCTTTGTCTTTCCTATATCAATCTCATCTCTCAAATTATATTATGTTGCTACCTCTGCCATTCTGATACATCCTTCTCAAGCCTGTGTTTGTTTTATTAATCTAGTCTTGTATACACCCCTGTTAGCTCTGTTTTGTTTATCTCCATTTGTCCACTGTCTACATTTTTTCTACTCTTTATTTTACATTTCCTCCTCATTTTATAATTAGTTTCCCCCATGTTTTTCTGCTCCTTCCTGTGCTTTGCTTCTCTTTTTTCATCCTACTCAATCTGCCTTTAGGCCTTTTTAGTATACCTTGCTGTATCTTCTGTTAGATGTCTTGTCTATTGCCCTTAGCCTCCCCTTGGACATCACATTCCTTTCCTTGTGTCCATCTCCTCCCCAGGTAAGAAGAACTCCATCCTGCTCCGTAAACGTGCAGAGAACAGCACAGGCTCGGTGAATAATGAGATCATTCAGCAGATTGTGAAACATGATCGAGACATGGCCCATAATATCCAGGATTTCCAGTCATTGGGGACAATGCGGGATGCTGGACACAAGACTCTCATCTGGGAGCCCCTGGTTCATGCCCCTCTGCAGACTGCCGCAGCCACCACAAATGTTGCCATCGCTCTCACTCATCAGCAGAACCTTCAGACTCATGTCTTCCTACCCCCATCATCTCTACCCGAGACTGCATATGCCAGCCGACAGGCCAGAAGGTCTCAGCCCAATATTGGGTCCAGGCCTTCTATAAGTTCTCCATCTGGTGCCCAGTCCCATTTGCATACTCCAGTTGGCATCTCCCAGTCTTCTCCGAGTGGCCTCCAGAAACAGGGTGTTGGTGTTCCTCCCTCCCGTTTTTACCAGATACAGAGAGTGGAGCCTCCTCCCCTTGCGAAACCACTAATGAATTCACAAGTGCAACTATCCCGCTCCCGTGGGACTTCTGCATCCACCTCTGTTTTGCAGCAATCGGCTGGGCCTGCGAGCTCTCAGATGGTGGCTGGGCCTCTTTCTGGCAGGACACTGCACTACAGTCTGTCTAGAGCAAGTGGTTCTCACATTTCTCTGCTTATGCAGCAAGTGGCCAGTTCCCCTCAACAGCTTGTCAAACACAGGAGCATACAAGGACTGCCCGTTGGGAGACTGTCACAGGATGACCGTCTCTTATCTGCCTCTCAGCCTTCATTGCCCAACAGAGTAGCCCAGCAGCAGGACAGTGCAGCCTATCCACAAGCTGCTGACTCTCCAGGATCTTTTAGTAATAAATCCTCTCCGTCTGTGTCTGTAACATTTGTTAAACCGCCATCTCACACGACGCAGGTGCCTACAGGGCCCGCCACATTGTCCGGATCTTCAGTCAGTGGTTCAGTCACTCCACAGTCTCCTGTGTCTTCAGCTCGACCACCAGGGCCATCACGAAAGGGATCAGTAGTTTTCAGCCCTGATGTGGACATTGCTAAACCGAAGTTTCCCTCTAACATGTAACAAATGACATGGGAAATGGACAACTATTTCCAGGGTCGTCATAAAATCCAAAAGCCTTCTGATCCACGCAGACCATTTGCAAGAGTAATCCAAGAACCAGTTGTAGTCTAATGTGGTTGTTTCTACCAACACTGCCTTTCTTCAGTTCCATCACATCTCCTAGGCATGACCTATCGCAAGCAGAAGCTCAACAACTGGCCCATTTACTATGGGCACTCAGAATATCATCTTTCTTAAATATAGATATGAGTTCATCACTGTGGATTGAGGGTAACCAAGCCTTACTCATCGCATATAGCTTTATACTTAAGAAAAACAAAGCAAGAAAGAAACTTTGCTGAGGAGTATTTTGGAAGGTCATTGTACAGATGAGCAAGACGTTACAAATCCTCTTGCTTTGACCACATACTTGTGGCTTGTTCCAGATAAGCAGATATTAAGCCATTAGACTGGACAACGTTCAAGAAGGATCTTTCGGTGAGATGTCTACTTGGTTCCCCACACACACTCCCCATTGATGCCCCTAATAAATAGTAATAAATAAGGCCCAACGGTTAAGAGCTCTGTAGAACAATAGAAGAACGTAGAAAACTGCAAGATGGATGGAATACATATTGAGTAGACACAAGGGCCCCTGTCCACATTCTGTGTTCTTGACTTCTCTTTTGTGTAATTTCCCACAATTTTCTTAAAGCTCAGTTTCTCTGTGTCTCTCCCAAGTTCCTAAGCACTTCCATGATACTCCTAGGCTCCCCCCTTACATTTTCCTGTGTTTTTCCAAGGCTCCTGAATTCCATGATGCTTCTTCCTGGATCTCCAGATCTCTAAAGTCTACCCTAGGCTTTCCAATTTTTTCAGCTTCTTTCCTGGAATATCCACAGTACTAGAGATTGTGTGGAAAGGATCCTTTTGCAAGCTGATCATGTTCCTTATCTCACAAGCTCTGATATTTACATATTGCCTATTTGTGTGCTTGACCATTTCTGTTGTTAGCAGACTCATACACTGAACTTACATCTAATTGGATTGTGTATTGCCATTATTTTTTATTTTACATACGACTAGTACTGAACTTGTTATTCTCCAAGACTCCCCACTTTTCTTTCAATCCCTCCTTGTCCCCCACAAACATCTTGGATCTCCAAATTGCCTCTTTTTTGCCTTGCTACACTTCGGTAGAGTAGATTTTGGTATCTCATGCCTTATAATTAGGGATGCACCGATACCACTTTTTTACGACCGAGTACGAATACCGATACTTTTGATCAAGTAGTCGCCGATACCAATTGCCGATACTTTTCCTTAACGGGACAGGTCACATTTTTTCTAAAGCAATACAAACTAATGATTTAAGGTCAGTTTCTCAATATTATGATTCATGAGATGACGAGGGAGCATGACGCTGCCTTTCCGGCCAATCAGAATGCCGGCGCTGCGTCATTACACGGCGCCCGGCTTTCAGATTTGCTAGCTTCCTGACGGGAAGCCAGGCAGAGCGTCATTACATGCTACCCGGCTTCCTGATTGGCCGGGAAATCGGCTCCATGCTCTTTCATCACAAGTGACGAGAGAACATGGAGCCGTTTCCGGGCCAATCAGGAAACCGGGCAGCATGTAATGATTCGCAGCCTGGCTTCCTGATACAGGAAGTACTCGTGCTAGGTATCGGAGTATTTGGGCGAGTACTCACCCAAATACTCTGTATCGGCACCGATACTAGTATCGGTATCGGTGCATCCCTACTTATAATTTGCATTTTTTTTAGATGTATTGTATAGTTCTCTTACCAAATTTGTGTAAACTGCCTTTGTAGGATGTTTCCAAATACCACTAACGTTCTTTCCATTCCAACCATTCTGTGTTGCCCGTTGAAATCTGCATGATCATCTCAACATCTCGTGTAGTGTTGAGTGAGTGAAAAGCTGTGTTCCACCATACTGGAACTTTCCATTGTATGAAGATTTCCAGTTTTCTCTTCCCTAAATTTCTTCAGATGATGTTCCTTAGCCTTTGTTTATTGGTCTGCTATAATCCTGAAGCTCTGCTGCAGATCCCACCTTGTATGACTTGTTTATTGGTCTGCTATAATCCTGAAGCTCTGCTGCAGACCCCACCTTGTATGACTGTGCCTCAGACCAAGGTATCCACCAATGCCCCATATTGTAGACCTTCCCTGGTTTTCACCAGTTTCATAGCTATGTTTGTTTTTTTAAACCTATGTTCCAACCTATGTGACTTCCTCTATAACCAGATGTCTATCTTGAGGTGTGTGTGGCCTCCCTCCTTCTGCTCTACTCAGTATCCATTGCTCTACCCCGTTCACAGTTCTGTTCATCCATTCCTTCAGGATTCTGTTTTGCCCATTTTCCTCCCTAGGAAAATGAATTTCTTCACTCTGCAACCTGTTGAAAACTGGTCTTGCCAGAACCAAATCTTTTCTTGCTCTGGCATTGTTCCGTACTTACTGGCTCTGAATAAGCCTGTGCATTTACCCTTACAGGTCTCTCACTGCCTGGAGCCTCTAGCTCATAAAAGAAGAAGTGGATAGTTTCATCATAATAGATTTGCACAGTCAGAGTATCTTTCTGGAAGGAGGCGATGCTATTGCCTCTCAGCATCCCTCACCTTATTTACCAACAACAGACACCCCAAACGGAGATGCGAAATCCTATGTAGACATTTGTCCTGTACATGAAAGACAACAAGGCCTTCAGCACACAGGCTGGGAACAGATATAATGAGGTCAAAAAGACCAACAATTCACCTGGCGCCAGCAAACTCTGAAAAGACTTCACTATAAACTCACACAGCTTTTTGCCTGAAGATGGCTGTTCGGTGTGCTACTCAATGTTCCTCTGATGTTCCTCAGAGATTCCACATCCGCCAGGCCTTTTCATCTGTAGTTTTAGACAGTTCAATTTATAAAAGGTCAGTATGGTTTATGAGATCACACAATGTTGACTCAGTGCGTTCAATGTATTTAGCATCACATTGAACATGTGTAATGTATTTCCACTGACAGTAATTGTTTAGCACCTTCTCTAAAAAAATACATAAAGTGATCTTGAAAACTCTCATAGCTGCTAAATAAAATATGAAGTATGCCCTCTTTCACAAAAACCTTCAGCGTACATCATGTTGTGAAAGTGACAAACATCACAAGTCACCACCATGATGTGTAAAAAGCGTAGTAATCTTATCACTGTTGAGCGGTGGTCTTTTAGGAAATATTTTTTATGAGCTAAAGTTGGAGTTAGAGTTGGAGAGGTAAAACGGGGCACATTGTTAAGCCGTCTCTATAGTACTTGGTGGAACTATACAAGCAAAGGAAACAGTTGGTGGATAATCCAACATAGGGGTAGAGAATGAGAACACATCTGTACACTGGCATAGAACGAGAGATGGTAAAAACATGGAAGCAAGTTTCATCCTTAACAGAGGAAGTAGAGAATGGTCTAAATACAGGGACTGAGATAGAATGTCTGGAAGATGGTCAACTTCTACAAAAACCAGACATAGTTTCTGTGATAGTACTGGAATATTAGCTAGATTCTGCCTTGAGGACCAGGTGTTTCCAGTATAGGGTTTAGTTAATGCTACAAATACATTTTAGACAATTGTGCACTTCCATCATTGTGACAATAGTTTGGGATGATTTCTGTTCCAATATGACTGTGCCCCTGTGCACAAAGCTGTTCCATAAAGACGTGGTTTGACCATTATGTTGTGGAGGAACTAAAGAGGCCTGCACAGAGCCCTGACCTCGACCCTGTTGAACACCTTTCGGATTAAATGGAATGCTGATTGCCAGTCAGGTCTTATCCAACATCAGTACCTGACCTCACAAATTCCCACAGACACACTCCAGACTTTTGTGGAAAGCCTTTCAAGACGAGTGGAGTGGGGGCCAACTCCGTGTTAATGGCCATGGTTTTGGAATGAAATGTCCAACAAGCTCAGATAGGTGATGGTCAGGTGTCCACAGACTTTCGGCTATATAGTTTATTTCTGGGGCACCTGTGGGATCTTGGGTAGTGTTCTGTTTGTAGGCCAGTGTGGGTACGTTGAGTAGCCGGTGAATTCCTGCATGGATGTAGTGATGAAGTGATACTGTGGGGCCAGAGAAATGTACAAGGATATAAACTCATCCCAACGTTAGGGCAGGCTTCCGATGGTGCATGGTTGATTCTACGGTTCTGCAGGTATCAAGCACCATGCACTTACTATGATAGGTTTGGAATATTTGCCAACCAATAATATTGTATGTGAATGTTGAGGATAAGGAATCCTCTCATGTCAGATACAGGCGGGACGACGAATAGCTAGACTCTTCATGGATGTAGTTATCACAAGCTCACCTCAGCCATAGCATCAGGCTAGGACATTGTTGGGGAGATGACTTGTCTACAGGACGTAGAGATCATCTAAATGGAACATCAGACTTTTTATTTTTTTTTATTTTGTGTTGTACAGATAAAAACTTGTTCGGAAATAAGTTCTGTAAATAAAGAAGATTAAAAAAAACAAAACATAGAAGGCTTGTTTTTTCTTGTCCTATTACAATAACGTTCATCCCCTCCTGGTCCTCAAAACATTCGGTTAATAACCTTCCACATTAACATTACAATAGAATTCCAGTTTTGATGTGAAGAAGACAACAGTTTGGCAGGTCCGCTCTACACCTTACAAAGACGTTATCAAGTTGTTTTTAGATCATTACCTGCTTCTGTTCTGTAGATACTAAAATTTGGCCATGTCAGGGCACTTGCTCAATTAATGGCAGCGTTTACCCTTGCAGTAATCACATGATCAGCCCCCCTTAAGAAGAAGCACTGCACCCAGCATATTAGTATCCACACAGCACTGTTGGCAGGCATCTCACAGATATGAAGCTTCCAGTGTAGCAAGCATGAGGACATTGCTGGGGATGGCACATTCCAGGCAATGGAGATTGGACCGCATGCTCTGTGCTTCTTCTAGGAGAGGCAGTGAGCCAATTAGAAAAGTAGAAGGGGGTTGATAAATCCTTACCACACCACACGCTGAGTACTGTTGCATTGGCTCTCAGCAGCTGCAGATTAAAACAAAAAGGGCTTTTTGGATAAAATAAAATGACAAGATGGCCTTCAAAGCAATCACTGTTCTTAAGTCAATGTTTTCCTTTTTCCTGGAATGTATGAATGAAACATTGAGAGACCGGTAGGGGCAGAGCCGGAGGTGAAAGTCCCGAGTGTAATCAGCTGTGTGCTGTAAATCAGGTCAGAGCTGATTTAATACAGAAATGGACAGCTGGATGGGGCTGGTCACCCTCTGGTGAGCGTAGAGAACATGACTGCATCAAATGTTCTCCAAGAAGGGCCACTCTTACAATCAGATTGGACCATTTCTGCTCCAATGTACCAACAACTATGAAGTGCAAAGATCAGATCTACCCTATCCCCACCTCATGTACCCCCTTGTTGATGTAGGTTCTCATTTTGCCAGGTCACTGTATAGCCAGTAGTAGTTAACCACATTCAACTGGATTTGGTCTTTAATGTTAAAGATATCTCGTAGTTTCTCCAAGTCACTTTTTCCGTTCTAACGAGTGTCAGGAACATACCCCAGCATTTAATTCCACACCGGTAGAACAGGCGCCTTAATCCAAGCTCCGTGTAAGGTGTCAAAGCAGATGTTGATTGTACAAAAACAGGATGGGAGGTGTGACGGTCGAGGAGCCACCTTGTTCTAGTTACATAATCCCAACCTTGGTGTCAGAAGTCTGCATAGGTGTTAATCATTCCGTTCACATGACTGAAGGTGTGAACCATTGTCAAAGCATCGGGGCAGAGATGCTAAGACGGCGTTATGTGCGGAAGACAGATGGTGTTGAAGGTCCCCAGCTCTGTTCAGGAATGGCGTTTCAAGTTTGACCTAGCTGGCTTCTTGCAATTCGGTTGTCCCATATGTCCAAAAACGTGCACCTCAAAATAATGTCCCTCTTCCTCAGGACTGCTGAGTCCCGACCTGTAGAATTTATGTTGGACCATTTGTTTGTTGAGATGTTGTTTTGCTTCCCTTTCCATATGCATCCACCAAACATTCAAGTGATGCTTCTGGGCACCATGTCGGCCTAATTATGCTGCTTCAGTGGCCTTAGTATTTTTAACTGATGGGCCTCAAACAAACTTCCAAAACACAACTGCTGACAGAGGTTAATCTTTAAGCATCACCTGTGGGATGGGCATTCCTCAGCAGTTGTAAGCACTTGGAAAGATCCAGAAACTTCACCTCTATGATTAAGCCCAGGTGGTGAAACGCATGAGAGGCATTGCAGTGGGAGAGATACTATGGTGGTGTATACCTTGTATTTTGAACTGTGCATGGAATTTACAACAATAAAGTCGGATTTTTATGGACCTCGGTTTCATGCAGCTGATTGGAGAGTTACAACTGCTGACTTCTTGCATGGATGACCAGTGTCAGTAACTCAGAGTATTCAAGACAGCAATGGCCAAGCAACTAGCACCTTCAGAGAGAGGGCGCAGCAAGATCAACCCCATATTGCAATTAAAGCTGAACTCTGGCCTTCCACAGTTGTGCAGGCTCCTCCCCTGGACTGACATTGCTTACTTGGATTTTCACCGCACACTGGGAGCGCCTCTCAATGTGCATTAGAAGCTGCAGCAAGTCAGATCGAGCCTGTCTCATTTCCTGGCTGGAGGCCATCCAGCATCATCTCAAAACTTTCCTCGCCAGTCCTGACATGCTTCAATGTTGGTCGATAGCCCTCCCAGATTTTCCTGCCCCTTCAGCCAGCAAGAGCAATGCCAGCTTAGAATATAGTCTTAAAGTGACATTAAACCCTCAGATTTTTTAACATAAAACAATACTGTAATGTGTGCCTTACTGTAATCCATGGTTGTTTTTACTCTTTGCTGCTCTTCCTTTTAATTTTGGATATATGGTGTCTGTGTATAGGTTTGTAACCTGAGCCAGCACTACAGGAAGAGGCCCTGAGCTGAAAAGGGAAGTTCTCCCCAAGCATGAGAAGACATGAGGATTTAAAAAGGAAGAGCAGCAAAGAGAAGGGAAACTACCATGGATTACAGTAAGGCACACATTACAGTATTGGTTTATGTTAAAAATCTGAGGGTTTAATGTCACTTTAAACTGAAAGTTCAGTAGATAGATTTCCATTCATCCAGTATTCATAAAAAAAAAAAAAACTTTTAAAAACAAGATCTTAGTCAATCTCTGCACTGACCTCCAATAAAGCTTCTGCACAGCAGCACTCAAGACTGGAGGAAGGGGAGGCAACACTGTAGTGCTCATGTGCCAACAAGGAGGTAGCATGTTAACAGGAGGAGAAAGCAGAGTGACACAGAGAGGAGCTGCTACTGTGTTGCATAGTGCTGCGACGCTAACAAATGAAGTTTGCTGACTGGAGGGGAGGGCACAGAGATAACCTCATCTGAGCTACCTCATCTCTGAGCTGCCTTTCCTTTAACATCCAATCCGAACCCTGGCCAAGCTGTACTGAGGTGAGGAGTAAATGGCCAGGATGTGACTGGGCTGTATGGTTAGCGTGCCAACTGAACAGGATTACACATCGCATTTGAATTGAGAGATTTAAAAATAGATGTTTTGCAGAGAAGAATTCTCCGTTCCTCCAATCAGCCTGCACATTTCTACAGCGCATAAATCCAATTTCCTGGTGGAGGAGCTCCAAATTAGAATCACAGCTCAGAACGACGGCCGCCACAGGACTTTATTCAGGAGGATGACAGATATAACTGCACCGGATAGATGGGGCATGCAGGGACCTGTAGTTCTACAAAATGGTGAAGCAAAAAGGGGGTGCTGGCTATAGGAGGGACAAGATATCTGAGGGATATTTAATGTGGAAAGATGCTTGGGCCCAGATTACCCCCCATTCTCAGTCACAGCAATGAGCAGGGGTGCCACGTTCACAGCTGCCCCTCTCTCTGCACTTAAAAGGGATTTACAGGAGGTCAGGAATGAGGCCGCTGTATACACTCCGCCGGGTACACAACTTTCCCTGTCATTAGCCCTGGATGGGATTAAGCTGGACGCCCCCCTCCTCAGGCTTATCACCCCATAAACCCATTTAAAAGCGCACGCCAGACAGATGGCGGGTAAACCCATTTTCAGTAAGCTCACTACTGCCCCCTCAGTGTTGGTGGATAGGCAGACTGCCGATTGGCCAATAATCTGTTATGGGATAAGCCCTTTCACTAAATCCACAATCAACTGCTCTCCGTCCAGCTGCCAGGGAGGGGGTACAACAACGTCACCAGACAGGACAGAAGAAAAAAAAAGACAACGGATAAAGCTGTGTTAATGTTTAATGACGGGGTTATCCTGGAAGCATACATATGGAGTGCTAGCTCTGTGGGTTAGCTGCGTCTGCTTGTGACATGGCTCTACGACACTCTGACCACTTGCATGATGTTGGTGTAGCCAGATCCTGGTCTCCAGCCGGTCAGGATGATGACGATGTCGTCTTTGTGCAAGAAGCCGCGAACTTTCCCTGTCAGGAGAAGACAATTCACCGTATAAGACGAGATGAAACCAGAGGAAGAACACAATAAAAATATCTGTAATGATCTGGCCTGACTTTTTTCAGTTGATAGTGTCACGTTCATCACCCCCCTGTACACTATGCAGCCCCCGTACATAACTCTTTCTCTCTCTTCCCCCCCCCCCTTCAAAAACAGACCCCCACACCAAATACACAATGGTCTTCCTCCCCCACCAAGGCCATCTATACACAGCACCTCCTGTACACATAATACACCCCCTCCCTTCTACACACACCTTCTGCCACTGCTTCTGGGAGCCCCCTTTTGCCCATTACAATACATTATATAAACCTCCAATCAATCTTACCAACTTCAGTGCCAAACTGCACCCTGCGGTCTACGTCATCGGCCCAGACCTCCTGCTGAGGATCCCGGTATAAGACCGGAAACACCCCACGGCTCAGATGAGCCTGGCGAGCCACCTGGTCATTCCGGGTCACTGCGATGATGGGAGCGCGTGGGCGGTAACGGGACAGAAGCTGGGCACTCCTGGGAGAAGAGGATATTCCAGAGATTAATATATCAGCAGTCAGACCACCAGGGGAAATACAATGGAATCCAACAGGTATGAGCCTGGGGCCCTTCACAGGTCAGATAATGAGTATTTAACTCTATGGGTATGCACCTTCAGCCATAATCGCAGTTTCTATGGGAAGCTTTCAATTTGGAGACCCCTACATCCCTCCCATCAGAGGTGAACATGCCATCTGTACTGCAGATCAGGGTCCTGATTAGTCAGAGGAGCACCAAGAGTCTTTCCCACTTCTTAACCTCTGGGCTATTCTATTGGGGGCCCAAACTGGATGCTTAAAAAAGAAACCCTTACTGCAGCGATAAGGCAACCATTGCTAAACTCCTTAATTTAGTAATTGGGGAGACCAAACATGTGCATCTTCTGCCCACATGGGGCAGACGATGCCCATGCTAAAGCGGAATAATCTGTGCAGACATCACTGATGGATACTTTATGGGGGGCTTCATGGGCCAAACAAAGCACTTGATAATCAATCCAATACCGCACCTGCCGGATATGGTGAGGACGATGAAGGCCGCGGCACAGCATTTGAACGACGCCTCCACTGCCCCGATGGCAGTCACTTCTGTGGGGTCCTGGGTCAGCGGAGTCACCCTGCGCAGCTCTTCAAACAGCTGCTGGTTGTAGATGGCAGCTTCGGCCTCTCGAGCAATCTGTAACAGGAGAGAGTTTGAGATCACATTGACACCATCTTCAATCCGGAGACTGATAGAGGGTGTAAGGTGCAGGAATAAGTGGAGGATGCCATATCTCCACTGCTAAACTGATAACCTGTAGAAGGAAAGGCTAGAATTTAGGGGTCATTGTGCTCCTGCTCAGATGCTCCTGAAAGCCAATCCCAGCTGTATGCATCTGCAGGAGGTTAGAAAGTGAAAGCAAACACTGGATTGGCTGCCACGGACATTCTGCTGTCCATACGTAATTTGGTGTGTATTGCAGTCATGCACAGCAAAGAACGGGTTAGTGATTCCGACCTTGGGTACAGTCTGTAGCAAATATTACCTCTGAACTTTGAATCCAGATCACTCCCGACTGCCCCGGAGTTACAACAACCTGCCTCTGGCTGTCTCTGTGACATGTCATAACATGGGTACAGGCTGCACACTAAAACACAGAACCCTTACAGCTGAAAGTTTAATCTGCTTATATTTTGCCTTCCCTGGTTCCGTAATATTTCTAATCTCTCAGCCAGTGATATCATCAAAGTGCAACAAGGTGTTCTACACAGTGGTATAGCTGCTGTGATGTGGACTGTCCTGATTATAGCTCGGAGTTCACACTTTGCTAAGAACCTCACCGCATGCTGCATTTGAACCGCCTCCACTGGATACAGGCCCTTAGCCGTCTCCCCTGACAACATGATGCAGTCGGCTCCGTCCAGCACGGCATTGGCCACATCGCTGCTCTCGGCTCGGGTGGGACGTGGCTTTTTGATCATGCTCTCCAACATCTACAGGAGACAGACATTTAGATCAGATCACAGAAGGACAGAAGAACCTGATCAGGAGTGAAAAGGGAAGAAGAGACCTCCCAACCTTACAGAGCCATCTCGCCCACACCAAGGCTCTGACTATTGGACAAGAGCAAATTTGACAGATTTTCTGGAAGTACTTTTCATTAGGGCTAAGAGGAGAGGGTCTTACCTGTGTGGCACAAATGACTGGTTTTCCAGCTCGGTTACATCGTCCAATCATCATTTTCTGTGCCAGAAACACCTTCTCGGCTGGGATCTCAATGCCAAGATCTCCACGGGCCACCATGATACCATCGCTGGCCTCGAGGATCTCATCAAACCTTCAGGTGTCAAGAGGTCAATGTGATTACAACTATAGACAGAGCAGGAGGGCACAGCCCAAGAAGACCCTAGCCAAAGCAAGAGGGGACAGCCCAAGAAGACCCTAGACAAAGCAAGTGCGCACAGCCCAAGAAGACCCTAGACAAAGCAAGAGGGGACAGCCCAAGAAGACCCTAGACAAAGCTAAGCGAGGGGGGACAGCCCAAGAAACCCCAAAACAAAGCAAGAGGGGACAACCCAAGAAGACCCTAGACAAAAGCAAGAGGGGACAACCCAAGAAGACCCTAGACAAAAGCAAGAGGGGACAACCCAAGAAGACCCTAGACAAAAGCAAGAGGGGACAACCCAAGAAGACCCTAGACAAAAGCAAGAGGGGACAACCCAAGAAGACCCTAGACGAAGCAGGATGGCACAACAAAACAGACACTAGATGAAGCAGGAGGGGCCAAATCAAGGAGACCCTCTGTATAGAGAGCCAGAGGGGACATCCAAGGAGACCCTAGACAAAATATGAGGAGACAAACCAAGGAAACCTTGTGTATAGGCAGAGCAGGAGGGGACAAACAAGGAGACCCCCCTAAAGAGGTGATTGAGCCCCCACTAACATTGCAAGCCACACCTCTTCACCCCCTCGTGATTCTCTATCTTGCTGATAATGCGAATGTTTTTCCCCTTCTCGCCCAGAGCCTGACGGATGGCATGAACGTCCTGTGCCTTCCGGATGAATGAAGCAAATATCATGTCAACACCCTGCTCAATCCCAAACTGGAGGTCCAGGCGATCCCGCTCCGACAGTGCTGGGAGATCCACCGCAGCCCCAGGCAGGTTCACTCCCTTTCTGCTGCACAGGTTGCCCCCGTTCTCCACCTCTGCCAGACAGAAGTCCAGAACCACAAAAAAAAAAAAAAAAAAAAAAAATGAATGAATGTTTGGTCACCCCTCACAGTCTGATGCATCAGATACCTCATTTGACTTGCTTCTTGCAGTCCCTGTACACCCAAGCTCAGAATAGCAGAGGGAGAAGCAGCACAAGGGTTGTGTTGCAGTCCTCATCTGCCAACAAGCTACATGCTGATAGAGCAGTGTGAAAGATGAGCTCAGCAGTCTGAATCTCCAACTGATGAGATCATACTCTGATTGGCACAATAAATGTTCAGATCAGAGATCCTCCATCTTACCTATTTAAATATCTCTTTGACCAGCAGGGAGATGAGTCCATCGTCCACAAAGATTCGTCCTCCAACCTTTACCACTTTGCAGATATTCTTATAGTCCACCCAGAGGATCTTGTCGTCACACTTCTCTTGAAAAGAGTCATCTGTCACCACTTTAATGATCGAGCCCTTCAGCAGCTCCACCTCTGCATTTTCACCCTGTAAGAAGACCTAGAGATGAATGGCAGCCGAGGAGCTCATTCTACAAACATATGAAACCTTCTCACTCAGGAAACAAATGAACTAGTTTCCCATCATGAACTATTTTACATAAAGTCACAGGGCAAGTTGCGGAACTGCCAAGCACAACATTGCCGGCAGCAGGTCAATCTACAAAGAGAATCATCTTTTTTTAAAGTTGCGAGTACAGAAAGAGATACGATACACTTTATGGCCAAAACTATGTGGACCACCTTCCCAATGACTGAGTTCAGGTACTGTTAATGCTGCATCAAAGACACTTCAGACATCCATCTGCATGAAAGGTGGTGGAACTGTATAAGGAGAGGAGACTGTTGGTGGATGATCCAACATGGTGGGAGAGGATGAGAACACTCTGGCTAGAGATGCAAAGAACGTGGAAGTGGGCTTTATACCCATCAGAGGAACTAGAGGGTGCTCTAAATAGAGTGACAGAGCTAGATTGTTGGAGAAATGGTCAAATGTCTCCATAAGCTAGACCTGGTTTCGTTGGATGGGGCTGGAATATTAGCTAGATTCTCCATGGAGGCAGATGAAAAAGGTAAATCTACATTATATGGTCAACTACTGCTAATACAACAATATACAGAAGACATTTTGGACAATTAAGTGCTCCAACCTTGTAGTAACAGTTCCATGACATTGTCCTTGTGTGCAAAGCCAGCTCTAAAAAGACATGGTTGGAACAGTTTGGTGTGGACGGACTCAAGTGCTCTGCACAAAGCCCTGACCTCAGCCCTACTGAACACCTTTGGGATAAACTGGAACATCCATTGTGAACCAGGTCTTCTCCTCCACCATCAATTTCTGACCTCACAAATGGGAACAAGTTATCGCAGACACTTCAAAATCTTGAAGTGTGGAGGCTGTTATAGCAGCAAAGGGGGTGTGGAAGGCGGGGTTGGGTGTAGTGGCAACTGCATAATATGGGCCATGGTTTTGGAATGGGACATCCAACAAGCTGATATACAGTAGGTGTGATCATCAACTGCCTAAACCTGACAGCTGTAATGAACAGTAACCCAAGGAACCGCCTAGACCTTCATGCTCAGAGAAGGCAAAAAACATGGCCGACTCCCCATTGTGGCAAGCTCTACATGAGGAGGTCCATCATTGTGCTCACCGTTTTGATGACCCCAGTTCGGATCTCAGGTCCCTTTGTGTCTAGAGCGATGGCTACTGGTCTGTAGAACTTGGGGTTCGTATCAAAGCTTTCCGTGGCCTCTCGCACATTCTTGATGGAGCCTGCGTGATACTGAAAGGGGGATAATTATTAGTGGAGGAGCCGCCGCACCGACAATTTCTCTGGTAATGTCTTGTTGGCTCACCTCATGTGTCCCATGAGAGAAGTTTAACCGGGCAATGTTCATTCCGGCCTTTATCATCTCCTTTAGCATCTCCACCGAGCGGGAGGCTGGGCCTAGGACACAATAAGGACACACAGTGAGGCCTTCATGCTCTACCCCTGCTATCCCCAGGGAGTTGGTTTGGTCTTCCCATCTATTCGAGCTGCCCCAGCGAGGTGGTTGGTTGAACCCCCCTATCCCTATTACCCTCTCTTTCCTGGCTGTTACAAAGAGGAAGTCAGGTCTACCCCTCTATCTTCGCTATTCCAGAGAGGTGGTTGGGTCTCCCCCTCTATCCCAAGTGTTTTAGTGACATGGTTAGGTCTCCCCCTTCTACCCTGGCTGTTCCAGGGAGGTGGTTAGGTTTTTCCCTCTAGCCCAGCTGTTCCATGGAGGTGGTTGGATCTCCCCCTCTATGCTGGGTGTTCCAGTGAGGTGCTTGTGTCATCCCCCTCTATCTTTGCTGTACCAGTGAGATGCTTGGGTCGACCCCCTATATCCCTGCTGTTCCAGGGAGGTGCTCGGGTTTTCCCCCTCAATCCTAGCTTCTCAAGGGAGGTGCTTGGGTTTCCCCTTTATATAACTGGATCGCCAAGGATGGGCTCGCACAGGGTCTCATAGTAAAAGTGGAATTCTTACCAATGGTGCAGATGATGCTGGTGTTGCGGGCAGTGAGGGGCTCCGAGTCGATGTCCAGCAGGCACAGGTGCTCTAGGAAGGTGTCCGCTATGGAAGCACCCAGTTGCTGCTTCTGGAAGAAGGCTGTGCCAAGGTCCTGTGTCAGCTGCGCCATGTTCTCCGAGAGACGTCTGCGACTCACTACTTTGGGACAAACACACAGACATGAGGGAGAAGAGAGTGACATTTTAGACAGAGACTCCTAGGAAACGGCATACCTATCAGTCCAGCCATTAAGGAGATGGGGGCTCTCTATCCCTCACACTCGTCTGACCACACAGGGACTTTCCGGACACACAGAGTTATGATGTGGTCAGCCTGGTCCCCTCAGCACACAGCTCTGATCACTCACACAGTGGCCGCCCAGACACATGCACAGGGACAGGCAGTCTCCTGGTTAAACAATGACAGCTTCTGCTGGAAAGTGACCAGTCAGCAAACACTGTGGAGACCATGGTGGGGGCGCATCTCCACCCACACAAAATGCAGTTGGGTAATGGGGCATAAAGGGTCACAATCAGCCAGTAATCACATGGGAAGCGGGGGGTACGCAGCTCCACCATACTGAGGACCGAGATGGAAAATCGGGGGCGGGTCACAATCTTGAGCAGGCTTTGGCGAACTCAGGCAAGCTCAGACTCATCACTAATAGTGAGCCGCTGGAGATCTAGCGAGGCGAGGATGCCGGGAGTTCTAGTGAGCTGAGCATGGTAGGAATTGTAGCAATTGGAGGATGGTGGGAGTTGTAGCAAGGCAAAGATGGCATGAGTTGTAGTGAGCTGAGAATGGGGGGGGGGGGCGGGGGTTCTAGCAATGGGAGGATAATGGGAGTTGTAGCCAAGCAAAGATAATGGGAGCTGCAGGATTGCGGGAGTTGTAGCGAGTGAAGTAGGGTGGGAATTGTAGCTAACCAAAGATACTGAGAGTTGTAGTGAGATGGTGGGCGTACTAGCGAGCTGAGGATGGCAGGAGTTGGAAAGAGCGGAGTATAGCAGGAATTGTACCAAGGCAAGGATGGCAGGGGTTGTAGTGTGCCAAGGATAGTTGTGGTAGGCCAAAGATAATGGTAGTAGTGAGCTGTGGAAGGGGGGAGTTGTAGCAAGCAAAGATAATGGTGGGCGTTGCAGTGAGCAGAGGATGGTGGGCATAAGAGCCGAGGATGGCGGTAGTTGTACCAATCCAAGAACGGTGGGAGTTGTAGTGAGCAAAGGATAGTGAAAGTA